AGAGGGCGGGTACAATGCTAGTTTACTATTGGCTATTGCAAATTGAAATAGCCAATAGTAAACTCCCAATGCTTTTGAATGGGAATTCGTCTTTTTTCTGTTTTCTGACATGCTCGTGTCAGAATAAAGACACAGCGGGGTTTCTCTTCTTGGCGGCCGGGAGCGGGGGCTCCCAGAGCGCCCGGGGGATTTTTTAAATTTTTTTAATTTTTATTTTTTTACAGCAGCAGAGCCGCCGGACAATAGGAAACTATTGGGCGGAGCTAGCTGTCACTGCTAGCTCTGCACAATCGTTTTCTATTAACTTTTTTCTACTTTTTTCACTCTTTTTCTGTTCTGCTCGGTGCCTCTGAGGGACCGAGCAGAACAGCCGAGCCAAATGCCGCTCGGCGGCATTCGGCTATTCTCTCACTGCTGTTCGGGATCTTTAAGAATAGCCCGAACAGCAGTGAGAAGCCTGCCGGAGGTTCGGCTCAGCCGATCCAGATGTTGGATCGGCTGAGTCGAACTCCTTCTGCACTTCGGGTCAGCCGAACATGCTGAGCATGTTCGGCTGATCCGAAGCCACACGAAGCAAGCCGATGTACGGCTGATTTCAGCCGATATACGGCTGAAATCAGCCGTACCAGCCTGAAGTGAATAGCCGAACAGTGTTCGGCTCACTTCACTTCTGATCGCTCATTCACTCGGCTGCCCTCGGCAGCTTTGTGAATAGACCCCATAGTTTTGCCATCTTGAATAGAAGCAATGAGATGCAGCATGGTACACTCAGAGTAGACTCCTCAGACTCCAGAGGAGTGTAAATAGTTTGTTCAGTTCATAGCAGACAAGCAACATATGAGAAAAGAAGCAACCAAGCTTGTGAATGAGCTGTGCTGGTAGGCATCCCTTATGAGCAAGCGGGGATTGCGCAAGTCAGAAATAGGGAACTGGATGTATTCTCCATAAGACTGTTCTGTATTCTACATTATCTTCAGCCTTCACAGGCTCTATCTCCAGGCAGGGTGACTTATAGCGCCCACTCAATACATTCCAATAACTCCCAAGTACCACTTATCTCCCTACTGACTTCTTTTCAAAGAAATAAATTATTATTCAGTACAATGATGCTTTCTAAAGTGTACAAGTGCTAGGAATTTCTGTAATGACCCTGTGCATAATAGCTAGGACATGGATGCCTAAAAGACTGCTTGAGGACTGTAGGTTGCAATTCTGGCGTCCTCTTGTGGTCTTTGGGCAAATTTCCCATTGCAGTGTATTCATGTATTTTATTTGTAATCTTCACTGCTCTGCCTTTTGTTTTCCACTTTGTTCAGAGTTCATACTGCTTAATTTGTAGAGTATTTTTGAATGTTTGTTATAACTTAAAAATTAAAAAAATTGTTACAGGGATTATAAATATTTCACACGATTTGGAACCATACCTCCTTCTAGACTGAAAATCCTTTCCCCAAGGGCATCCACAATGTCCTTGAGAGCAGCTTCATTTGTCACATTGAAGAAGTGCTTTTCATCTGGGTCACTGGCAATGTATTTGATTTCATTTAGGAAAGCTTTGGGATTAATGCCTCGTCTGTTGTAATATCCAAGGACCTGCATGAGAAGCAGAGAACAATGTCACCTCCTTTTGCTTATTTATTTCTCTTCAGTTGCACAGAACAGTATAACAGAGCCAGGAAAAAGAAATTGGTAAGGGCAGACATGGTGGTGTGTGGGCATCTAGGAGTACAACATAGTCCAGTTGTAAGGAAACCCTGACAGACCACAAATAACCATCTTATTAAAATTCAGTTCATCCAGGTTCTCACCAGTTTCAAATACTCTAAGGCCTGCAAACTCTTCAAGGATATGTCAGAATTTCCAAACAAGCAGTTAAAGCTTGGTGGCATGTATTTTACTTGTGAAGGAAAGCTGAGATTTAACATATTACAGTCTCCAAGTATAACACAGTTATTAAGTAGCTTGAAGAAGAACATAACTGGGGAACGGGGTGCACAGGAAGCAGTTGCCATAATGCATGTACATACCGGTACTGTGTTTCCCCGAAAGTAAGACCTACCCCGAAAGTAAGACCTAGCGCTATCTTCAGGGATTTCTGTAATATAAGACCTACCCCGAAAATAAGACCTAGTTCGGGGTAGGTCTTGTATTACAGAAATCCCTGAATTGCCATCAGAGCAGAGAGCGGAGAGCGGACAGCTGCAGCCAGGTAAATATAAGACATCCCCCAAAAATAAGACCTAGGGTCTTTTTTCTTTGAAAAAAATATATAAGACAGTGTCTTATTATCGGGGAAACACGGTACATACGTACACACATTAGATGGTCACTGAAGATGTAACACCTGCATGTGTGCTCTGGAGTTACATTATCTCAGCACCCATGTCCATTCTCGGCATTTTAAAGATGATGGGAATGGACCGGGACTGTACACTGAACTGCATATGCACACTGTCAGCGAACAGATAAGAAACATTTGTAACTACTCCGGTAAATTAGTTTTCCGGCAGAAGACTTAGAAAACTGGAAAATTTTTGTTAGCCAAGTTAGGTTCTATTTTAAAGTATACCTACAGCCCAATATTCTTTGTTATCTATGCAACATTGGGGAGATTTCCTTTCACTTACTGCCACTGGCATTGATTTACTAAAAGCAAACAGGCTGTTCACTTTGCAAGGGAATTTTCCATTAGCTTAGTGAATATGGGAAAACAAGCATTTTGCAAAGAATTCCTAACATATGAAAAAAACAGAAAAAAAACAGTAGGTTTGCTTGCACATAATTGGGTAATGGAAGTCAGCAGAGCTTTACCTCATTCACTAATCTAAGGGGAAAGTTCCTTGCAAACTGAATCTGTTCTATTTTTTAATTCACCCCACTGCTGGAATGAAAAAATGCCTATTTGCCTTTAGTAAATTAACCCCACTGACACCTCAGGAAGTAAAATGAAATCTGAGAAAAAAATCCCACATAGTTACATAGTTTGTAAGGTTGAAAAAGACACAGGTCCATCTAGTTCAATGTGTATGTGTATGTTTTTATGAGAGTCCTGTATATTTTGTGAACTGAGAAAATCTTCTAAATGTTTTTGGAACTTACCTATCCTCTCAGCTAATACCACCAACTGTGTGGGAGTTCCACTTTTTGTTCTGCTCCGACAGTAAAAAAGCCCTTACGCAGTTTAAAAATAAGTCACCTCTCATCCAACTCTCATCTTGTTCAGCGTCCTTATCTTAAACAGTTTATTCCCCATAATCCACTCCTGATTGACAGATTTGTATCTTGCGATCATATCACCTCTTAAGCGACTCTTCTCCAACGAGAACAAGTTCAATTACTTTTATCATTCTTCATAACTTAGGTCCTCCACCCCCCTTATTAATTGTGTTGCCCTTCACTGAGATCTTTCTAGTTCAAGGACATCCTTCCTGTGGATTGGTGACCAAAACTGAACTGCATACTCAAGATGAGGCAGAACCGGTGTTTTGTAAAGTGTTAGAATTACAGTTTTATCTCTTGAAAAAAATATAATTTTAATGCATTTCAGTATCCTGCTGCAGGGAAGCGAATTTTGGCTGATTCAGCAGGAATTGTCTGAAATTCGCTACATTGGTGACCCAATTCCTTCAGTAGAAGTCGATCATTAGATCGCCTTTTGCCAAAGTAACATGTTGGAAAATATTTGGCCAAACAGCTCTGTTTGGATATTCTCACAGCGGCTGCCGTAGCCGGAGTATAATGGAATCAGTGGATGGAGGAATCTGTTCTATTTTTTTCATTCAGCTCACTGTTTGAACAAAAAAAAAATACCCTACTTCAGTCTGTAGTCTACCAGATCTTTTTCCATCACCAATTTCAAAAGAGGGGTACATCGCTTCATAATGTTTGCTCCCAAATTCATGACTTTATTTTTTTTCAATATTGAACCTCATCTGCCACATATTTGCCCACCCTTCAGTTTTATGAAGGTCTCTAGTTGTCACCAGAGTAGGATGGAACAGCCACTGGGACACATAAACAGCAATAAAAACTTGACAGGAGTTTTAAACATTTTCTCCAAAACTAAAACTAAGAAACACATTTTGACTTTAGATACACTTTAAAACTCTGTGATAAACCATATATAGTATATGTTACTTGCACTTGTTCATAATAAGTGGTGGTCGTCCAGTAGAGGTCCTGCACTATATCTCTTCACCCAATAGTCTCTGTGGTAATAACCCCATGCAGTGTTTTGGGAGAATTACTTACAGCCACAGCATAGCGTGTTATGTTGTCTCTTTCACAGGTCTCTATCACTCTTTGTAGATCAGGGCTGTCATGAGATTCTCCATCAGTAATAACAATCATCACTTTTTTCGCTCCTTTTCTTCCACCATGCTGGAATGCCTCAGTGCTATAGAGAGAGGACAACTATTAGGCCTAGTTAAACATTTATTTGACATACTCTGGTGTGTAATATTCCATATCAATCAACCGGGTGCTTCCATTTCTTCATCTGTCTTTCCATACAGGCATATACTGTAGAAACATGGACAATATACACTTTTTGGACAGAAAGAATATTTGTATGTTTGTGTATTCTTACCATGCTTTCTCAATTCCCAGTGCCGTACGAGTCTCCGTTCCCCCCCTCTGCTCAATGCGTTTTGCTGCGTCCACCACCTCATTCACTGAGCGAAAGTCATTCAAGTAAAACTCATGGACCACCTCTTCCCCGTACTGCAATACTCCCACCTGTCACAAGGAGGAGAGATTATTAAAGTGAAACTCCATGCAAAAAGCTAGATACATGGTTGAAATGCAAGCACATTTACTGTTTTATCTGCCAATTGATTTGTGATTTTGGCCAGTTATTTATTAGGACAGCATCAGCCAAGGCACCAATATGCAAAACAAGGGTCATTGCCAGCCAGTTATGTGTGCATACATGCAGGCAGGGCCGGCCTTAGGGGTGGCAACAAAGGCGCCCGGCGGCCGACACAGCTCGTCCTCAGGGCGGCTTCTCTCCTATTCACTGCTGGCCATACGACATGACATCGCTCCCTCGTTCCCCCTCCCTCCCCAGGGGGGGACGCAGGAGGGAGCGCTGCCTGCTGTCAGGATGGCCGAGCGGTGAGGGGGAGAGAAGCCACGCCCGCAGCTGTAAGAGCGGGGAGGCGATTGGAGCCGCTGTCATCCTGTCAGTTCCAGGATGAGAGCGGCTCTGTGCGTGGCCGATATTTACCGGTCCAATTTTGTGAGAAGGACAAACACTGGAGCGATCGTCTGATCACTCCGGTGTTTGTAAATAACTGGGGACACATAGTACACACAGTTATGAATGAACAGGATGTGATTTACATCACAGACTGTTCATTCAAGATTTCCTCAATGGGGAGTAGCACTCGGTACAGAGGCTCCTCCCCATTCAGAAATGGCGGATAGTAAATATTTTACTATCAGTGTCTGAATGAATGGGACGCCTTGCATGCATGGCATCATGTAACGTCATGCTGCCCGCCTCCAAGATGGTGGCACGCATTCACAGAACATGCCGGTGGCCAACATGGCTGCCGCACATTCTCAAACAAAATATTATGTGCCTGAATACATGTTACGTATATTCGGACATATAGTAATTCATTCATTTTACACATAGTCTAGGTTTTGTGTTCTGTTTTCTATTTTTACTTTTCTAGATGCACTTACTTGAAGAAAGGGTCGGCATGAAAATCTGACACTTTATTTTTATAGACTCTATTTTAGTTTAACATTTATTGTTTGCCTTCTGTTGTTTTATTTGATAAGAATACTTATATTGCGCCTACAAGTTTAATACCTTTGAATAAAAGTTTTATTTTTATCATACTTTTTAATATATGTTTCTTTGTGGCTTAACAAAATAGGAGTCTTTAAATGGTGCAGATATTGCGAAAAATGGGTGTGGTTACTGTGGGTGTGGCCACTGAGGGGTGTGGTCACAGAGGGGCGCTGTAAAGCTTTCTCGCACAGGGTGCCTAAAGGCCTAAGGCCGGCCCGGCACACATGTTTGCGCAAACAAACTAATTTACACACACATGCAACATGGGAGTGCAGGTGCACAGCACTAGATGTTACCCTGCAACTTGAACCTCAACTGGGTTCTGCTTTTCCATTGCTGATGTGGCCTGCCTTTGGACTTGCTCTGTCTTCCTGTTTTTGACCTTGGCTTGTTCCTGATCACGGTTTGTCTCTGCTGACTCTCAGTGTGGCCTGCCTCCTGAAAACAATAATGCCTTCTACCCTGCCTGCTGTCTGTCTTCTTGGGTACTGACCACCTCTTTTCCAGATCATGCTTCCAGCCTGCTGTGCGCTCCAGTGTCCTTGTCAGCTGCCTTCCAAGCTGCCTCTCCACAGTGACCTTCCTGTTGGTCTGTACTAGTAGCGCACAGTCAAACCTTCCTCTAGATGGAAGCTTCCATAGACTGGACTCCTGTCAACTAAGAACACTCTGGTATGTGATAGTATTCTTGTAACAAACATGTTTGCTTGTCCGTAAGATCACTCTGCTACTTACTGATTTAGCTTTACAGCTTTCAGGTTCAGCTACTGGCTAATTTAACAGAAGTGATAATGCTCATTCAACAACCAATTAAAGGATACAGAGGAAGTGTAATTATCTAATCAGTAACTACATATGTCACTTCTCTTGTGCAGTGCAAACTGTGTATGTAAATCACAACAATAGCTGTACAGAATTACAAAGTCTTTGGCAGGTAACACATTAAACATATAGTCACTTCAACAGTTTGCCTGGAATTTCAGAAAAGTCCAACAAGGCTTTGTAACACAAAACTTTCTTACACTTTGCTTCATTACCTGAATCTGGCCCGGAGCAATGTAAAATTTCTGTAGAATACTGATGAGAAAACCCTGAACCTCTGTCCATGGGTAAATGCTGTTTGATCCATCCAGAACAATAACAATATCCATGAATGTTGGGCATCCTGAATAAAGGAATAGTGTTCAGTTAGTCTGTAATTACTCACATGTCCAGCACCAAGTTTTAAACATTTGTTAAAGTCAAAAGCCAACTAAAATATAACTTTTGGGTGGGAGCAGACAGTAAATCATCCATCTGTTTCTTATATCTCTTGAAAACGCAAATAGTGAGATTTCCTTGCAGCAGTTTGTCTCCCAGTAAGCCATAACATAGATTTTTCACTGGCATTGCCAGTTATTGGTTTACTTTCCATTATGGAGAGTTCATCAGCTTTTGATTTGCATGGCAGTTTGGCAGAACTGGGAACTCTACTAAGGATAATTCAACAATTTAATCATCAAGCGATCATTCAATTTGCGAGGAACTGAAATATCCTTCATAAAAGCAGCTGACTTTTAAAGTGACCCTGTCACAACTTAAAAAAACTGCAAGTTAAAGCACAGAAAAATTCAGTATTTTACATGCTTATATGCAGTGTTTTTCATTCACTTGCAATGTGCCTTTAAACTTGCTCCCTAGAACAGCTCTCTCCCTCCTTGTAGGTCATTGCTGTCTCCTCTTTAGGGATTGTCTAATTACTGTCTGTGCCGACCCAGCTTTATCGCCCCTCCTTTTATGTAGCTCCAGGGGGAGTACCATACCTGAATACTATAGTAGGTCATTTGAGTGAGAGTCATGTGTCTGCTGTAGCTGTGGAAATCATATCCAAGATGATGGCCCCCAGCAGCAGTTTCAGAGCTTTTAAAATACCTTAAAGTGACACTAAACTCAGGAGCTGAATCTTCAAAATGCATTCAAGTACCTTAACTATTAACAAAAATGTATCTTATTTGTGTATCACTTGGCTGTAGAACCTTAAAATCATCTCTGCCTTGGTGCTGACAATGTCTTTACTTCTGGAGGGGGGGTACTTTTGTTCCCCATGGTCCCTGGGTGTGTTGTAAAGTAGCCACCTCTCCAAGCTCACTCCTGTGGCAGACTACAATCTCAATTGTAGTTAGCTAAAGTGTATTGAGATTGTAGTCCATCACGGAAGTGAGCTTGGAGCAGTGGCTACTTTACAGCACACACAGGGACCATGGGACCATGGGGAACAAAAGTAGCCCCCCTCCAGAAGGAAGAACAGTGTCAGCACCAATTCAGAGATGATTTGAGGATCTACAGCCAAGTGATACACAAATAAGATACTTTTTTTTATAGTTAAGGTATTTCAATGAATTTTTAAGGTTGAACTCCTGAGTTTAGTGTTACTTTAAATTCACATATAATATTATAGGAATATTTTTCTTGAAATTAATGGATAATTATGGCGACCGGATCTTTTTAACTTGTTTATAATCTTAATGTGTAATAAGTATGGCTATAAACTAAATACATTAAGAAGAGGATTTATTTCATCAGCTTTAAACTAAAATATTAATTTAGCTATACTGTATATGATAAGTCTAATAGACTAGATCAGGGCTCAAAATTTCCACTCGCCTGCTCGCATTTTGCGAGTAAAAATAAAGTGAGGGCAAGTGGAAATTTGGGTCTCCAAGTACCGGAGCCGGTACTATGTGGCCCGCAGACAGCTGACATGTCAGGCACGCGATCACAGACCACGTACCTGACTTGCGGGAGAAGCTCCACGGTCTGCATCTGTTTCAGATGCAGACCGTAGAGCTGCCCCTGTCGGCTCCGGCTTCCTTCGGCCGGAGTTCTGACAGTTCTGAGCTCCGGCCGAAAGCAGGGATGTATTAGTTGTGTGTGGGGGGAATGTTATTATTATATTTGTGCGGGGGCGGGGGCTAACGTTGAGTAGTGTATTTATATGTTTTAGTGTATGTGTATATTAGGCCCCAATTTACACCTATATTTCAGGGATTAGGGATTCCTGCATCTGGAACTTGCGTTTTCCTGCAGGAATCCCTAATCTGTCGTTTACAAGCGGCAACTATCATAAGATAAGAGGGTGTGTTTAGGGGTGGGGTTAATGTCGGGGCAGGGGAGGGGTTAGGTGGGGCAACTGGTGGCGAGTAACTCTTAAGCCCTGGCTAGTAACTCAGGACTTGAAATTTTGAGCCCTGGACTAGACCATTGTTGGACACACAGTGTATACCGTATTTTATGCTGCAGTTGGCTACTAATTCTATCACCCTTTCTGAGAAATCACTTAGATAAAGTGATTGAAACAGAAAATGCCTGTATTGTCTATTAGTCTCTAATAAAATGTAAACCTTGATGGACATAAGCATCTAAAAATCATGTCTCAAACAAGCTTCCTTCCCAGTAGTGCTGCACATAGATTGTGTTTTACTGTTCCCTATTCCAATCAGTGGAAGTCTGTCAGTCGGCTCAATACAGTCTCTGGATGGCTTATCCTGTTCATTCAGTAGTTCCTCAACAAGGGTCCAGATAAAGGAGGGGAGGCAAACATCAGGCCTGCAGCCAAGGTAAAACTACATATCCCGTTAGGCATTGCAAGACTCTGAAGCCACAAGCATGACTTCCAGAAGCAGATACATTATGAGATTTAGAGTTTCACCACAGCTGGAGGGCTGAAGTTTAGGTACCCCTGAAATAAAACTCAGATAGCCACTAGAGGAAGCATCTCCAAGTACATGTATAAAATAGGCTCATGGGAATTTCGAAAAGAAAGCAATTTAAAAGAGTAAAAATTACTTTCTTAAACACATATCTTAAAATGCATTAGAGCTGCAGCTAACGATTATTTTCAACATCGATTAGTTAGCCGATTATTAAGTTCGATTAATCGGATAAACAATAAATTACACACAGATCATACACTTTCATTTCCATACAATTCCCTTCAATCAAACTATATACTGAACTGAATGCATACAATTGCCTTACTTTGCAGTGCAGGGGCCACGATTCTAGAGAAACGGAAGTTGGCGTTGACTCTGGAGCACATCCCAGTTGTATAATAGGAGCTTCCACACTCATGAGACCACAAAGGGCTGCAGGCCTGAAACATGGTAACACTGTTACTAAACATGTAAAAACACTGGATAGGTTAAATATTGATTAATATTAATTGGCAGCCAAGTTAACATGATAGAAAGAAGCCCAGGCAGGATGCGCTCAAACTTGAGCCAAGACAAGACAATTTGCAGAAACAGCCTTAAATACAGGTCACATGTCATGCTGCAAAGATGATTGGGAGGTTGAGGGACAGTATCTGCTGTAATTATCTGCTGCAGATACTGTAAGCAAAGAAAGATTCAGGCAGGGCATATAGTAGAATGAGACTATATAAAGCCGTCTCAGGATACAGTAAAATCTTACCACAAAGCTATTATCTTTAGGGTTTGTGACTAAGCTCATTCCCAAGCGCATGTTATCCTTTCGTTCCGACACGTTGGACAGCGTCACCCTGCCTGAGAGACCTCCAGTTACCAGAGCAACAGACCTCTGAGACCTCCTTAGAGACCTGAGAAACCTCTGAGTTACCACAGAGACCTTAGATACTGCCACATAAACCTGAGCATTAATACATGAAGTGCTTGCCTTTGACACCTGGTTGAGAGGCCAAAGCAAGCATAGTAATTCTACTAGCATCATTGTGCTCAGAGGAACCAAGTAGTCTCTGCCGATGTAGTCTATGTGGACATGTACAACCTGCAAGTCAAGACCAATGTTTTTGTAGTCCACAAGCTATTAACTGCGGCAGAAATCCTATTGGGCCTACAAGGAGTTAAACTTTGTGCCAAATAAGATATCTCTAATTACTTAACCAAAATTTTACTTGTATTGGGAACGTTAACCATTTTGGCATCACAGAAGAATGGTGAAATAGCAATTACATCCATGGAGTGAATGGCACAATGATGCCTCAGTCATAGGAACTTGTAATGTCTAACTTTTATATTTGGGTAACACCAAAGATTTTATTACATAGAAGATTGAGAAGAACATTTTAGAGCTTATTGGATGCCATAATTGAAAGTGTAAGTTGATGCCACTGCAATTTTTCTCAAAAGACTTACTGACCTTTCCATCAAAGTGCCAAGCTATCAAGTCAATAGGCAATACACATCAATTTTGTAAAACAGTAAATGCTAATAATTCTTAGAGATCTGTGTGTCCATTTCCTATCCCAACTTGCATTTAGGAGAGAGTGTGATGGCTGAGAATGCAGTTTTAAATATATCACACAACACTGAATCATGATTTTGTATTCAACTGATACTAACAATAGTTAGCAAGTGGCAAGGTTTCCTTATGTAAATGGTGGTTGACTGTTTGGGCTTTTACATGTGATCAGCATATAGTTACTTTTACTTAACTTGAATATTTGTCAGATGAGTATATATTGCCTATTAAAGTTCTATGGTACATGTCCAGCAGGAGCTGGAATATAACCAATATATTGTGGTTTTGCTAGAATAGGCTAAATATGTAAATATTATACTAATATTCTAGTGTCACCTACCAATTCCAAGCTTGTTACAGTCATTTGTCGTGTCGTTGGTGACGGAACACCTATATATGTCACCTGTCTTCTGTGGTCCATTCTGATCAAAGGGGGCTCCAACCAGCAACCTGTATAAAGTACATAACATAACATTGCATACCAATTACAAGTAGGTCAATGCAGGTGGTCCTCTCATTAGTGCATCCTGTTTATTTGGCTATCCTGCCACTCAGGAAGTTTCAATATTAGCATGATTGTGGCTTTGTGAACATTTCCTTCTATGTTACATATGAAGGACAGATTCAGTATATTACGAAAATGCATGAGTCTATAATGAAAACTGACATTTACATTTTGGGTGCAAATGGCTTCTCATGTAACTGAAAGTCTTTGATGGAAACACTTCTTCATCTTAGATTCCAGCTCTGTCTATTTTACAGATCCAAAGTTTGGCATAGTCACTGAGCATCTGGGTCTTTAAAAAATGTTTATAGCCAATTTAGACACAGTCCATCTTGCCAACTGCCCAGTCCACCCTAAGTATTCTGTCACTGCCTCAAACATAAGAGAGCAGTGGAAGAGAAAGCTGATTTACTAAAGGCAAATAGGCTGTTCACTTTGAATGGACATTTTCTCTTTGTAAGGGAATTTTCCCTTAGCTTAGTGAATGAGGTAAAGCTCTGCTGACTTCAATCACCCAATCATGTACAAGCATCACTACCGTTGTTTTAAATTCTCTTTGCACATGATTGATTAGGTATTCTGTGCAAAGTGAATCTTCCTCACATTCACTAAGCTAAGGGAAAATTCTGTTGCAAAGAGAACAGCCTATTTGCTTATAGTACATCAACCCTATAGTCCTGGTATTGTAAGTATTTTTACTTGGCTGAACACTGGATACAATTTTAGCCTATATAATGGCAATACTCTACGTTTTCCAATGGCACCATAATACAGTGGTCATATATGTAATTGAGTGTTACTGAGAAGTAATTGATACAGTCCTTTAAGAATACAAAAATAAAACTACCAAAGTAGCTTTAGCAGAGCAATAATACTGTTTCCCAGATGACTGGGCTGCTTCCAAAAGGCTTAATGTGCTCATGTCCAGCCAACTGTTTGAGATATTTGTGCGTCACTGATCTAAGCTGGATATGTCATGCCACATAAATTTATGGAATATGGAATGTAATCAAAGAAAATTTAAATGTAAAATTAGCATGTGAAGCATGGTTATGTCCCTTGGCTAACAAATTACTCATAGGGCCTAATTTACTCAAGTAAGAAGCTAGGTGAAGTGCACTTTAAACATCCAATCATTTAAAGAAGAAACTCAATTGTTAAAAATGATGCTGGACATGATTGGTTGTTTGAAGTTAAAGGAGTGGGGAGAGTGAAAAAGGAGTGGGGAGAGTGAAAATTATGGGGAGAGTGAAATACAGTCTTCCCCATAATTACAGCCGATGTGTGACACTGCAGCTGTCACACGTCAGCTCTGTAGATTGGGAAATGAGCGCTCAAATACCTCCGATCCCGCATTTTCTGATCTTCTTCCCGCAGAGAATCACTCCCCGCAGGGATACCCCTCTCCATTCCTCCAGTGTTGACTGTCAATCAGCCGGCGGGGTGGATCCCGACAGCATTGTCGTGATCCTTCCCGGCCGCAGCACGGCTTTGCGCTTTCAGCAACGGGCACTATATGCTAAGTTTTGGGTCACAGGAGGACATTAGTAAATGTCCTCCTGTGATCCTTAAGAGAACTATGGCCAAAAAAGATTGGGCCATAGTTCTCTTTTAATATAGGTTCACTTCATCTACTATTACACTTTAAAGTGAACCAGTACTTTGGCCATACCCGCTAAAATAACATGTTCATTTAAAAGGAAGGGAACACAAAGATTCAGGACTGCTTAAGAAATAGACAGTTCTATGAGGAAATGTGCCTGTACAAAATAGCCATTTATCAGGTCCAAGTGCTGCCAGGATTATGCATATCTAGTAGGCTGAATTTCATACAGGGATCTTGTGTGCTCTGAGGCTTTTGCTTGCAGTCTCTTCTCTAAAGTGAACCTGGTACCCTAGATCAGTGCTTCTTAAAGTGTGGGTCGCGACCCCATATGGGGTCCCGCAAGTGAACGGGGGGGTCGCGATCCGAGCCAGGACAGCCATCAGGGGGGTACGGCTGGTATTTGTGTGAGGGGCCCAGGCGGCCGAGGAGGCCTGCGCTCCAAGCTAGATTGTTTTATAATTTGCAGTGTAGTGTAGTTTTTAAGGTCGCGGCCCCCCCTGTGCACTTGGTACCTTCCTGAGCACGTGTGCGCAGGAAGGTTTTTTTTTTTTACATTGACTGAACTTTCTTTAACCCAGCAGCAGTGGAGCACAGCTGCTGGATGTAAAGGTAAGGAGGGGGAGGGGACTTATTAGTACTGACTGACTGACAGACTGACTTCCTAGATAGTGTACATTACAGGTTCCGTTTATGAGAAAATTCAATGGTGAATCTAGAAAATGTAGGCCATTTTTGGGGGGAAATTGCAAGGTTTAAAATTATCTGAATATGTAAATGGTGATTTGTCCAATAGGTGGGATATGCCACAGGTTATAAATCCTGACTTTCTGGATTCATTAATTGTGCAAGCTGCCCATACACTGCTGGAATTTCAGGTGATTTCTGTGAATACGCCGAAGTTCAAACTGTGAGTGGCCCTGTCGGCCCCACCAGGCTCAACAAACTTTGATTAAAAAAACTGAAGGAGGCAGGCGGAAACTTGTCAGCTGCAAATTGAAAATTGTCAGCCAATCAGCTGCAGTCACCATTCAGGTATTCAAGCTGCTGCTTGGATACAATAGCCAGAAGCGGAGATCCCTCCACCTACAATATTTACTGTGGATAGGGGAATTTAGCATTTTTCTCTCATTCAGCTTGAGACAACATGTATGGCTAGTTTGAAAAAGAAATAAAGTGACAAAAAAAATAAAAAAATAATCAAAAGTCTGAAATGCGACGTGCAGTGTACACACTCAGCCCGTTTATGGCATCTCTAAGATGGGCCGGGTGCCAGGGAGGATGTAACTCCTGTGCATATGCACAGGAGTTACATCCTCAGTGGCCACCTAATGGCTGAACAGGATGCCTGAGAACTGGGAAGTGGCAATGGCACAGATGACGGCAGCGGCGGTGCATACTTGCACATTTAGGCAAAATCTCACCCAGCTCATAGCAGTTTACTACCGTGTTAAACTGCCACTGCCGTCACTCCCACTATCAGTTTGATTTTTAAACACACACGGACTACATTGAAGCTTTAAATAAGTCTGGAGGTATTCTTTAAGATATATGAACTAACTGCACAGCTATTCCTCTATGGATGATATTTGCCAAAATCACACTGGAAAGCCTCCCAGGAGTATTGAAGCTGCTTAGTGCTATCTAGAAGCAGATATATCAGAGCCATGAGTCTGCAAATCATAATTTTTATGTTCTGCTCTAAAACACATAATGGTTGGAAATTGTTTTTGGCAGTGACTTTGTGCATTTTATACAGGTAATAATTCTAATCACTGACGGATAAGCCATACGTGAATTTGCTAACATACTGTTTTAGCTAACAGTAAAATGAGAGGATCATTCAGTTATCAATGTGCATTTCAATGGCAAAGTCTTGTTTATTTCTGTGCTAGGGTGCCTTGGCTCTATCACTTCCCCATCACATTAACACAAAAAAAGACAATATAGACATTGGAGAGTAGCATAGTTCTTTCTGAATTTAGGAATGAAGTACAAACCAGACCAAAGAAAAAGAAAATTGTACAAATTGGTGCAGAGAAAAATTGATGTTCACACAGAGCGGAGTCTCACTTTGCTTGCAACAATTCCTCCATCTGAACCACTTTATAGGGTAGTATATACCCAGCTCTTGAACTATTCTGAGTAATATCAGCTATTATAAGCAGACCATTTTCAAGAGATGTCTGATTCCTCCCAGGTGATTTTAATCAGAAAAACAGAGAGAGAGAGGGGGAGAATTTCTGGAGAAGATTATTATATAATGTATGGAATGGGACATGTGCAAAAATATGCTGCATATGGTACAAAGGCTAAGAATGACACGACAACAACTTTATAATGTACTAGCAAAAAGAAAAATAATACAAAATGTGTCAGGGCTGTATTTACCATAATAACATACTCATATGTCCATGCCTTGGGCTTTTTCTTATTAATACAAAATGTGTCAGGGCTGTATTTACCATAATAACATACTCATATGTCCATGCCTTGGGCTTTTTCTTATTTTGCTTCCCTCTTCTGGCTACTTCTTAACAATTTGTTTAAATTCAGCGGTTCAGGCCTGTCCCTTTAATAAGACAGCCTGAGGCTAGTGCCTTAGGCAGCATCTCTTTGGGTCACATGGGGTCTCCCCCCTTCCCCCGCCACCTCAGGTGGCAAAAAGGATGGTGATACCTTCGCAGCATAGAAAGGGGTTTAGGGAATGTTAAAAGAAGTCATGCTATGTGCTATTATCGTAGGTCAGTCGATGTGCATTTCCAAAGGTCAGTCGATCTGGGGCCTACACAGGGCTCCTTCTCTTTGCTCCCATGGGTGAACAGAGTGGGACTTCCTTAACCTCTCTGGCGGTATTCCCGAGTGTGGCTCGGGGTTAATTTTCTGTACCAAAGCGGTACCCCCGAGCCACACTCGGGATTGCACAAAAGTGTCACTTACCTTGTCCCTGCGAGCCCGCGGTGTCCTCTGCTGTGTGCGCCCGGCCGATGCCGGCATTTGGCTTTCCGTTTAGTTTTCGGCATCACAGGGGGGGCGGAGCCCGGCGGGAAATTCAAAAGTGAAAACATGACATTTACACAGAATACACACAATACAATGTAATCTGCTATGATTACATTTATGTATCAAATCATTTCACTTCAATTTTGTCCCTAGAGCTTTGTCCAATGCCTTGCCTGCACTTTTACTGTTCTCTCTGCCTGGAAACTTGAGAACGTCCATGGCATCCAAAAAGCGTCCCTTTAGGTCAAAAGCGGTTTTAGACCAGGTAGAAAACAGCCATAATAAATTAGAATCACTTGCAGAATTGAGCGATAGCGATTCGTTGAGAAATTCG